ATTTAATTGGTCTAGTTCATGTATCTTTTCACTTTTCAGTGTTCAAGAGATGGAAAATAAACGAAATGTCACATGGCTTAATTATTAGTGCATTATCAACTTCCCTAACGTTTTATTAAGTACCAGTTGGTAGAATATTCGCATTTAGAATATATAAAATTTCAAAACTAATTTAATATAATTTATTTATTTTTCTAATAATATCAGAAAATTATATGTTAAAAATTAATTATTAAATTAAAAAATAGTTTTATAAAAAATTAAGATAAATTTTAAATTATAATTCTGTTTAAAATAAAATTATTTCTTAGGATATGATATATATATATATATATATTAAAATAAAATTATTTATCCATATGATTTTATAATCATTGTAACTTATTATAGAAAAACAATTTAGACCTTGATCACAAAAGTTAATGAGAGATTTTTAATATTTTTAGTAGTTCATACTCGTTTTAAAAATTTCAAAATACAACATATATAAAAAAAGTCTAAATTTTTATTATATGATTAGTGTAGTTGTGTAATTTATTTTAATAATAAAAATTAAAGAAAAATGATATAAATTATACAAATTGTTAACAAATAGTTATTATTTAAAATCATCAATAGTCATATATATTTTAATCACATTAGGTAATTCCATATGTTTTATTTAAGGAAATAATATAGAGGAGATTTAATTTGATATGTTATTTAGTTTGATATGTCTTATATGAGACAAAAGAATTTTGTTTTAGAACTATGCTTTATATAAGGTGATCTAGAATTCTTCCAAGTAGAATTTCATAGAGAACTACCACATAAGATATGATTTTTTAATTAGTACAAACTTAAGGTTATAACTTTTTAAGTGATCCTCAATTAATATATATATATAAGATTTGGTGTTTGCATTTAAATCAAAGGATTATTCTTATTTAATAACAATCATTTTGTGGTAAATAAATCAACACAATCAATTTTATCCATCATATATTAGATACATTTAAATTTAATGACATTAACAGTATTTATAATATATTTTAAATATGGATGTTTAGTAAATTAATTTTCTCATTATAAGGTTTTATGATTATCAATATATTTTTATAACAAAATTTTGAACTATTAAAAATGGAATGCAAATTTTAAAATTAAAATATTAAATTCTAAATATTTTTCAATGAAATATCAAAATGTAATTATGTATTTTATATGGTATGTATTTTAATTTAAATTATATATATATATATATGTATTAATATAAACATATTAAATAAGACGTATTACTCATGTATTTTATAATTATTTGTATCTTATTATAATAAAAATTTAAACCATTGATCACAAAAACTTTATTTGAGATATTTAACAATTTTTTAATTTATACCCGTTTTAAAAAATTTAAAATACAATATATACGAAAAAATATAAATTTTTATTATATAAATAATGTAATTGTGTAAATTATTTTAATAACAAATATGGTAGAGGGTATACAAATTGTTAGCAAATCTTTATTACTGAAATTATTAATTGTCATATATCTTTTAATTATATTAGGTAATTCCATAGATTTTATTTAAGGGAAAGAATGGATAATAAATTTTTAATATTAATAAGATATGTGACCAACATCTTTCTAGTAAATATATGTTTAAACTATAGTATATGTAAGATAATCTAGAATTGTGTTAAATAGAATTTAGAAGGCAAGAAATATGCCACATAGAATTGAAATTATTTTTAATTAATAAAAACTTAAGGTTACAATTTTTTAAATGATCTCTAAATAGGGGATTAATCTTCTCTTATTTTTCTTTGATCTTTTGATAGGAAGATTCAGTTTTTATAGTTATTAATAGACTATGTTTTGATATGCATTTATAATTAAATATTTAAAAAGTTAGACATCTTGATTCAGTAACCTACAAAGGTAAGAAGAGGACATGATTGAAACGGTTTGCAATAGAAAAGAAATATATGAGCAACTTGTGACGAATCTGCAGATGCTACTAACAATTTTTTCGATCATATCATGTACTTTAATAAATACAAAAATAATATTAGTTACAAGATAATTTCTAAAGTCTTATGCCATAGATAACAAAAGGTTCCACAAGATATGATATGATATCAGAAACTCAGTCGGCCTTTGTTGCTGGACGACATATTTTTGATAATATCATGATTGCTCAGGAAATGTTTTATGCCTTAAGAACTAAACCTAGTGGACGTACAAAAAGAATGGTCAATAAAACATATATGAACAAGGCATATGATAGAATGGAGTGGTCCTTCATTGAGGCTACCATTAGAAAGATGGGTTTCTCAGAAATCTGGATAAGCTGGATTATGCGATGTGTAACTTCAGTTAAGTATAAAGTCTTTATGAATGGCCAGCCAAGAGGGAATATTTTCCCAGAGAGAGGACTGCGACAGGGGGATCCTTTGTCCCCTTTCTTATTTATTCTATGCACGGAAGCGCTCGTTAGCCTTCTAAATCATGCGGAGAATCAAGGGAAGATAACGGGGATGCGTATCACACGTGCGTGCCCCTCGGTATCTCACCTTCTCTTTTCTGATGATAACCTTTTTTGTAAGGCGGAGCCCCGTGAATGTGAAGAAGTAATGAAAGTAGTCAGAAAATATGGACAAGCCTCTGGACAGTGCATAAATTTTGATTAATAGTCTCTACTCTTTGGTAAGAGAATCGGACAAGATGTTAGGCAAGAGATCAAAGACACACTTGGGATACACAATGAAGGAGGGATGGAAACATATTTAGGAATCTCAGAGGATATCAGTGGATCTAAATGCAAGTTTCTTGCCTTCCTAAAGAATAAGCTAAGGGGTAGGGTAAATGGATGGACAGGTCGGTGGTTATCCAAAGGTGGCAAGGAAGTTATGATTAAGTCGATATTTTTGGCACTACCGACGTATGTATTGTCTTGCTTTCTACTTCCGCTGGAGATCTGTGATGCCTTAGCTAGTGCCATTGCACAGTTTTGGTGGAGTTCGAACCCACCAAAAAGAGGTATTCACTGGTCAACATGAGACAAACTATGCTTACCCAGAGAGGAAGGAGGTATCGGGTTCAGAATGATTCATGAGTTTAACCTGGGGTTACTAGCTAAAAAGTTATGGAGATTGGTGCAATATCCGGACTCCCTGGTAGCTCGAGTATTGAGAGGCTGATATTATCGATTCAGCTCGCCATTGCGTCAGCTTAATGTCAGTAACCTATCATATGTGTGGACAAGCATATCAGTTGCACGAGAGTTATTTTTACTGGGAGTTAGACAGAAGGTGCATTCGGGATATGAGGTCAAAGTATGGGAGGATCCTTGGATCCCTACCATTCCAGCGAGATCGACGTCCCCATCTGCTCCGGTTTTGCATCCAAATATGAGAGTGAGTGACCTTATTAATCAAGATACAAAGTCTTGGGATCTGGAACGGCTTGAGAATTACGTAGATGTTGCGGATATACCACTCATAAGGAGTATGACCATTAGTACAACACATCTTAGGAATACTTATTGTTGGAGCTACACTAGGAATGGACAATACACGGTCAAATCTGGATATTGGGTAGCACAGAACATATTGATGAAGGAGAAGGAAAGTATAGTTTGTGAAACTAGTATCACGAAACTCCAAGCACATGCTTAGAAGATCAAGGCTCCCCAGAAGATGTGTCATCTTGTGTGGCAAATATTAACAGGTTACATGGCTGTTACGAGTACTTTACACTATAGACATATGAGATGTGATAATTACTGTTCACGGTGTGGGGAACCAGATGAATCAATAACCCACACAATTTTTCAATGTCCACCTGCAATGCAAGTTTGGGCCTTATCATCTACGCCTACCAACCATTCCTTATTCCCACTACAGAGTACGTATGCTAACATGGACTACCTATTTTGGCGGAAAAATGCATAAATGGAACCGGAATTGGACGGGGATCCTTCTCCATGGCTAATCTGGTATATTTGGAAGGCCCGGAATGATAAACTCTTCAGAGGAATTGATAGGGATCCCTTGGAGATAAATCGATATGCAGAGAGTGAGTGCCAAGCCTGGTTCCAAGCTACTGAGCAAATTATATCGTCATCTCAAAGAGCCACAGATGTTGATAGCCAGGCCATAAGTCTGGGAAACATTTGTCTGGTAGATGGTTCGTGGACCTTTACAGCTCAGTTCAGTGGATGTGGTTGGGTTTGGAATGACGATTCGGGGAATGGTCAGCTAATGGGGATGCAAAACTATTGTCGGGTGGAGTCGGCGTTGCACTCTGTGATGGAAGCACTGCAGTGGCAACGGTGAATATGCTTCAACATTCGCCATGTCAAAGCTTTGGAACATACTGCAAGGAAATGATAGCGATGCTCAGAAGTCCTAATGATTGGCTAACCTTCTCAACAGAATTGGAAAAGATCATCACACTGCGGATTTGTTTCCCAGATTTCAAGATATCCTATGTCCCTAGGTCACAGAATGTTGTTGCTGATTCCTAAAACTGCTCGATCTTTCTATTGAGATCTTATGTATGTTGATTGTTCTATTCCGGTTTGGCTTCCTAGACCATCTTAAGTTTAAGTAATAGATCAGTCTTTTGATATCAAAAAAAAAAAAAAATACAAAATAACAAAAATAAAGGAATATAGTAAAATGATGTATTGGATTCTAGCTATAGTCACGTTTCCAAAATTCTAAATATTCACTAGTTTTGTTTCTTGTCGGAAACTCAATTCTTGATCTTTTCAGGTTTTAAGTGGAGTCGATGGAAACTACTGTGTGTCAGTGTTTCTTGGGACATTGAACAACCTACGCGATTTGAACAAACGGTGCGGTTGATATGGAAGATCCTCGAACGAAGCAATGTTTGTGATAGAAGCTTACCGAACACTTCTCGATCGTGGTCCTTATCCAGCTCAATTTCTTTGTTTTGGCAGCTCTGGCATCGACTAGGGATAATGACCGCTATTAAGGCCCGCTAACAATTCGGAAAATGTTATGGTAATTTCATTCAATGTGGGCTTAAGCGAATACAAGCAATAAGCAAATCAATAACACGATCAGATCATTGATACCATCATGATGAATCAGTGAGAAATGAAACAAACTGTTCCACTAGTAAGGTGGGTTCTTGTAATCATCTCTGGCACGAGAATAGCACACGTAATAGAACTGAGAGACTATAGCAGTGAAGAGTGCAAATGAAGCACCAGCTGCAAACACTCCTTTACGGATCACTTCACAGCTCGGAGGCTCATCCACGTTCCACATCTTCCTGTACTTAGTGTGGTACGCGTTTCTAATTGATGCCGCAAGCAAACATATCTCAGCAATCAAGAAAAACACCCTGTCACCAAAAAGAAAGGGTCACAGTCAGATTCATGACACCTGTAACGTTATGATTTAAGTATATATTACCAGCAAATGAGGAAGAGGATGATGGCACAAGCTCTTGAACCACCAGGGTGAAGAGCCTTGCCACAGCAGAAACACTTACTAGCCACCATAATAATGACTTGAGTTGTCAAGAGAAGCACAAAAGCACCAGCTCCATAACTTGTAGCTATGTCTGAGCCATACTCACAGTACTCATATACTTTCTCCTTGTCCGGTACAACCTTACCCTACAAAACAAACATCACATTGAGATCTAGCCCTAGATTAAACAATGCAGAAAGCTACAGTTACCTGCACAGATCTTAACTCTATAGTATAAATCCTTAGAGATTTTCGGTTATAGGTTATGAATCAAACTCATAAACAAGGATCCTTGTTAAGTTTATCACGTATCTTTAACAAATCTTGATTCTTGAATCAGATCTCAAAATTGACTACAGGAGAAGAAGAAGAAGAACACGAAACAGAGCAATGAACAGTAAAGAAAGTTTTTAAAAGAGATAGAAGAATGATTCTTACGACGCTTCTTCTTTGCTCGGCGGCAATGGCTAGTCCAACAGCGATGAGATCTAGAATGAACACAATAATAATCACTAGCTTTGAAGCCATGGTAATGTTCTCTTTCCCTCGAAGTTGTTTATATTATATATACTACATAGATGAAGAAACTGTCAAGATAGTGTGACCGAATAAAGAAAATGAAAAGACTGTTAGCTTACGAAAATATTAATTTTCTCTTTTGTTTATTAATGATTTAAATTCCGAAAAGACAACGCTGATTTCCTTTTAATTTTTATTTTCTCAACGATTTCCTTTTAAACTTTATAACAATTTTAACAGTTTGACTAGTATATAAATTAGTGTTAAACTAAATAAATAATTAGGTCCCTGCACGTGGTGCAGGTGAGGTTTCCTTTGCTTTATCTACGGGGTAATTAAAGTGACCATACCTTGTTTAATAATTAAAGTTGTTAGACCAGTTACTTCGAAATAAATAATTTTATACTCCCTCTATTTTATTATAAGTGTCACTCTGTAGCTATGCATACGGATTAAGGAAACAATTAATTTTACATATTTCCTATATAAAAACACAATTACCTATACACCTAACCATATTTTAACCAATAGAAAAACTACTTACATAATAAAATTAATAAATTTTGCATTGAAAACCGAAAACGACACTTATTTTGTAACGTAAAAAATTCTCTACAACGACACTTAATATGAAACGGAGGGAGTAAGGTTTAACTGGTTTTGTGTGAAATTTAGCGTAAATATGGGATGTTAAGGAAAGATTTATTAATGGAATTGAATGCGTTTGATAACAGTCATCGTCTTGATGATGTCACATTGAATCCTTTAGATCTAACGGTTGATCTGTTTAAAAACGGTTTTAACTTTTATCCGGTTACGCTGCCGCTTTATTTCACCTTCTCTTGCTGAATAACTGGCAAGATATAGGTATACGTCATGGATGTTCTTAGAATTGCTAAGAGCACCCCCATCAAAGTTTTAGATGGTAGATTCACACGTTTTTCAACACAAAAAATATTAAAATAATTAAATCCTATGATCCTCTCTCTCTTAAAGCTCTCTCTATTAATCCTCTATCTCCTAAAGTTCATCACTGTAGCGCAGGTCCCATGACACGTGGCGGTCCACGATTGATTTTTTTTTTTAAATCAGAAAAGAAAAACAAAAAAAATTAATAATAATAAAAAAATGATAAACTTCAAGAAGGGGTTCATTAATGGGGATGCTCTAAGACATCACATGGTTCGAAGCTACTCTCTTTCATTTAAGATTTTCTAGATTTATTTGTTCTTTTTTTTTGTCATCTAAAGATTATATTATCACATTTGAAATACAGTTAAAACAACCCAAACCAGCAAACGTACACACACCTTTCCCGAGCCAAACAACCGACAATTTTGGAGCCAAATTTAGAAGGATTCTACAAGCAACTAAATAACATAAGTCAATGAGAGAACAAGATGAACCAAAACTTTCTAGACCATACAGATTAGCAATGATGATACGATGCAAGACGATAAGAGAAGCCATAATAAGCGAGAAGGCATTAACGGTTTAAATTATTAGAGGTGAGAGAAAAGCTCCACAAAGAACCACAAAACATCCACCGCTCAAGAACAAGCTTCAACATGTAAGCCATGTGAATGTGAATCTCCACCCGAGCATATGACAAAGAAACGGTTGACAATCAAACTGCCCAAAGACCAAACACAATTGAGAAAAAGCTCCACAGTTCCTTACCAAGTAATCCGGAGAAACCCGTCGGTTAAACACCAAGGAACAACACAACCTTGCCTCACCAAAGCATCACACAGAACATAACAACTTGAAACTCAAAGGTCGAGCATCGAAACCTTACCGAAACAAGTCCGATAAAGATGAAGCCGCCACAAAAGCCAGATGACAATACTAAAAATCACAGTCATAAGACACTAACCGCACCCAATAAAACCACCAGTCATCACAACCTTGAGACCAACAAGAACCAGAACGCTAAAACACATATTAAGACTAGAAAATCATTTGGCTAGACGAGCAAGATAAATAGAGATAAGAACCGCAACCTCACAACCACCAAAGATCAACCTAGAAGCGCCTCACCAAATCCGATGGAAGAATTAGAAACCCACATCAGAGCCGGCTTATAGTCTTTCATCGCGCACCAGAAAAAAAAAATTGAAAGTGGAGAGACGACCCAAATAAGGCGAGCACAAGATGAAGAGAAAGGACCAAATCTCTGAGAGAACCCAAGTCGCTGAAGCCTCAGAGCCATAGCCAAACTAACAAAAGAACACAAGACCAACATTAACCATAAAACATCTTAGGAGTGGCCATAAACGGGAGAAACACGATCTCGCGCTTCATCTCTAACCTTCACCGGCTTTGGCATTGATTTGACTGACTCATGAAGAATGCTCAGAGGTCGAGAAGACCAAAATCAGTGACTCTTCAACTGATTCAAGGCGACCAAAGGTCGAGACCAAAGTACCTCAGTCCTTCTTTGGACTCAGATTATAAACCATGTTCCTAGAAAAATGTCGAAAGGCCAAAATTAAAACGATAGATATACTATCAGAGACAGGACGGGACCGCTCCCAGCAGCGGTGAGGAGCACTGGCCGCCGGAGCAGCAGCTGAGGGAGCAAAGGTTATCTCCTTTCTAGGGTTTGGCGACTATCAGCGAGAGTCCTTCTCTTACATTATTCATCAACTTATTTTCAAGATTTATTTGTTCTTCAATGATAAATTTTCTATAATTTAAGGTACTTTTATTACTTAATGTTGATAGGTTGTATATTTTTAAGAAACATTAATTAAAAATATTTGAATTGGTTAAATACTATGGTTGGTAGTTATTGAAAAAATATATTGTAAAGTAAATAATAAACTTAGTCATAAATATTCATTGTATTCTTAATATGCGTGAATATTCTAAAAACATTCTTTTAGGAGCAGGAGGTAGTATATTTCAAAAAGATACATTTTTTCTATTTTAAATGTATTTTTATCAACTAATAATGATTAATTATTAGTTTCAAAAATATTAATTGCATTAACTGAATTTTATTGGTTTAAAGTTATGGAAATAGATAATTTCAAAAACATATGTATTAGTACTGAAATTTAATGTGTTTTATTAATCCGTGTGAGAAAATTAAAACATCTATTATTTTGAAACAGAAAGATTTGATTAATCAATGTTATTCATTTTCTCAACGTTTTCAATCATTTCTATAGTTGTGTATGAAAAAGTTAAAACAAATGGTTTTGATAATTTTTAGATGTATATTTTGTATTAATAACATAACGTACGGTTTTACATTTCGGTGATGATGGAGTAACAATTCTATCATAAATCATCAGGATTAGACATGGTTTTCAATTTATGGGTGCGCAAAATAATGTGAAATATTTTTCGATTAGATTCAGTTATCCAAATTCCTATGGATCAAACTAAATACTAATTTCTATGGATTAATATTTGGGTCTATAAAATCTTTAGGATCCCCACGATTATCAAATTTTTTTTTTATCAAAGCCACAAATATTAAAATTAAAAAAACATATATCAACATATGAATATTGCATGGCTGTTAATAATTGCGAGTAGTTGTTTAGATTTTGTTTGTTTCATGTGGACTCCATTTATGGTGATGAGAAGATGATGTTTTAAAAAACTGGTTGCACAATTTTCTTATAAACTTAAAATAGAAAGCATAGATTACATTATGTTTACAAACTTGAATACTAAATTGTAGTGAAAACATGTCCATATCAGATTGGTGGCAATAATAGCAATGTTTTGTGGCTTCAGAAAATCAAGATACGCCTTCTTCCTAGCCACCTTAATGCATCTCAATGATGTTTTGATACTTGTCCAGAAAGTTTCAATGTTGATGATGTCTTCTTTTTAGTCGAGTTTTTGCCTTGATTTTTTTCCCATTTCTTAGTCATGCCCAAGCACATGTGGATGACACCCGAAAGCCAGAAAGGTATAACGCCTCCTTGTGGCCATTGTTAGTGGAAATTGTGAAGTGGTGGAGACCTAAAATTCTGTTTTTAGCATGAAAGTACTCAACAATACCTTTGTTATAGTGAACTTTTCTGTTGTGGGCCCACAAACACCTTTCCATTATAACTGAGTATTTAGTCGTCAAGAGTGGTTTCTTAAACAGTGGTGAGAGGTTAAGATGCTTGGACACAACATGATCATCATACGTGATGCTAAGTTTCCTGCATGATATGATTGTGTTGTAGTAATCCGTGGGTGAGATGACACGAGCAGCTGGAATGATTTGTGGATGAAGTAGTCCTGCATAGAGATATAATTTTACTTCTTAAACATGCACTTTTTGAGTAAGAATTCAAGTAGTATATCGATTAACTTTGTACGATGATGATCTAACATTTTCATCCAGTAGTAAGAAGGTAATATCAATGCAATCTCCATTTTCTTGATACTTCGTAAATCTCAGAAATGTGAGGAGCCGGACAACAATCACCTGGGAGTTCCCAAAGCGGAGATGGTCAAAGGTTGCATGGTGAACAGCATCTTAAACTAAAATATCTCTGTTTCCCTTCCTTGTTATAAGAACCTGAAGCATTTGGTAGCTGTAAAACAGCTGGATCCCTATGAATATGTGAGGGTTGAGACTGCAATCACCCATCTCATACAGGCTCTATTAAGTTTCTCTTCCATCGCACCTTAAAACCTTAAATCAAAACTTCCAAACTGTCTGGACCTCTGCTATTTCCTCTCAACATGCTGCTCACAATGCAACTTTGACGTTCTCCGCATTGATCATTCCTCACAGGTGATTTTCGGTCGGCTGCTCTATATTCTGAAATTCACGAAACAACAAGAGTGTCTTTTTCCAGGCTGCATCAGTGAAGATGGTGAACGTGTCGGTTTGGTTTTGATGGATTCTCTGTAGTTGTCGTGTTGGTGGTTGAGGAGCAGTATGAGTCTGTTGAGCGTCCTGCCATTCCTGAGTGTCTGCTATGGCCTTTGAGAGCGTCTCCATTGAATTGAGGATCCTTTTTTCAAATATTTTCATGTTCCGTGCCGTCCATATGTTCCAGGTGATCCAAGCAAATAAGGCTCATGCGTGTGGTCATGTTGGGGTAAGGTTGATCAGGTTCTTGGAGAGCTTTAGGGCGGTGATGAAATCTGATGATGCGCTTAGTGAGTTCATGTGTTGGATATGTGCTGAGTTCCACACACTGGCCGCAAAGGGGTACTTCAAGAAGAGGTAAGAGGCTGTTTCCTTTTCTCTGCAGTGTACGCATCTAATGTTTTCTAACAAGCTTCTCTTTTCCAGATTTTCACCTAGTGGTAATGCACCGTTGACAATTTTCCAAAGAAAAACACATTGTTTTGGAGGGAGAGGGACCGACCAAATGTCAGTCATCCAATTGCAAAGGTGGATGCTTGATGTTTCTGGTCGTTGTGCCCATTGTTTCTCTACGGCGGAATGGTACCCTGACCTAGTGGAGTACTCTCCATTTTTCTTCATGATCCAGCTGTGCTTATCAAGGGCTCCTGTTTTGCTGGGTCTGAGGCATATGATTTTTGGTGCATCAAATGGGAGGATGCGGTTTACTCGCTCTCTATCCCAGTCTCCCATCGTAGAGCAAATGAGATCCTCAACTTCGAGTTCTTTTGTGTCCTTCTGAGGTGGGACCATAGGTCTGGCTAGGGAAGTCGTAGACAGCCATGAATCGTACCAGATGCTTGTATCTCGTCCGTTGCCGATGGTCTTTCCAGTGCTGGATAATAAGAGGTCTCTTCCACATAAGAGACCCTCCACCCACGGGAACATGTTTCGAAGCCTGAACAGACATAAAGTCATCTGATTTGCAATACTTTCCCAACAACACCTTTGCAAGGAGGTAATTTGGTTCTTGTAGTATTCTCCAGCTCTGTTTTGCTAGTAGCACATCATTAAAGGACTCGACCTCTTGGAACCCCAATCCTCCATCTCTTTACGAAGTAGCTAGCTTCTCCCATGACACCCATCACATTGTTTTCTTGTCTTAGCTTGAGTCCCACCAGAACCTCGTCAATGCAGATTGGATTCGCTTCGTTAAGCTTTTTGGCAGTTTGAAGCATGTCATGGGGTGGGATGGTATAGCTGAGAGCACGGATTTGAGCATCATTAGTTTTCCCGCATGAGATAGTTTCTTCGTGCTCCAGCTCACAGATTTTTGGCGAATTTTATCAACAATGGAAGGGAGCATATCTTTCTTTTTTCGTCCGATGTGTTCTGGGAGGCCCAAATATTTCCCGACACCTCCCTCTTTCGTAATCTCAAGGCTGTTCTTAACTCTCTCTCGCTGATTTCTTGCGGCGTTTTCTTCTAGAAAGTAATGGTCGATTTGTTAGTGTTGATCATTTGGCCTGAGACTGATTCATACTTCCTTAGAATTTCCTTTAGTGCTGCCACACTAGTTGGTGAAGTCTTTACAAAGAACATCGTGTCGTCTGCAAATAAAAGGTGATTAATCCTTGGGCATCCATGTGCTACTCGTACTCCTGAGAGAAGGCCTCTTCGTTGAGCCAGTGAGCAAATTCCGGAAGAACTTTGCTTCACATGATGAAAATATACGGAGACAGCGGATCACCTTGTCTGATTCCACGCGTGGGTATAATAGACCCTTGAGCCTCGCCATTGAGCAGAACATTGTATGTTACAGAGGTTATACATCGCATGATGCATCTGCGCATCTTATCATGGATACAAAATTGTTTCAGAACTGCATCGATGAAGTTCTATTCAAGCCGGTCATATGCTTTGCTCATATCTGTCTTTACTGCCATGGAACAATGCTTAACTGCGCCGGATCGCTTCAGGAAATGGAGTGTCTCATGTGTGATCATGATGTTATCTGAGATTGCTTTACCCTTGACAAAGGCTGGCTGATTCTCCGCAATTATTGTATCCAGAATTGGCTGTAATAGTCGAGTGAGGTTTTTGGAGACGATCTTGTAGTAGACGTTGCATAATGCAATAGGTCTATAGTCAGAAACTGATTTTGGGCCAGAGATCTTGGGAACAAGCCGGATGTGGGTGTGGTTGATGCTATTAGGCAGAGAATCATGTTCAAGATATTGTGTGATTTCTGCGTTGATTGCTGGCCCTACGGTTTCCCAATTTGTACGAAAAAGGCTGCTGAGAATCCATCCGGTCCCGGAGCTTTGTGGGGGTGGATAGAGAACAGAGCATTTTTGTATCTTCTTAGGCGTGGGGCTACTGGCCAGTGCTTCATTGTCCTCGGATCGGACTGTTGCAGATAAGGCTTCATCTATAACTGCTGTTAGGATGGAACCCGCTGAAGTGAAAAGTTTGGTGAAGTACTATGTGATAACCGCCAGAATCTCTGGTTCTTCAAATACAGTTTCTCCAAAGCTATTTTCGATGACTGAGAACTTGTTTAAAGCTCATCTGGTTCTTGTAGTGGCATGAAAGAATCATGTGTTTATATCGCCTAGTGCCAGCCATAGCGTTCTGCTACGTTTTCTCCAAGACTCCTCTTCCTCCTTGTAAGTTTTTTTGAGTGCTTGATTGAGATCGTTGATGAGTAGCGTGTTGTCTACTGAGCTTGCCATTGCTTCTTCAAGTCGGATTTTTATGTTTTTTTATTTCAGGTTGGCTGTTCTCATGGTGGACTCGATTTCATCGAGATATGGGCTTAACTACATGCTGTAATGCGGCTCTCCACTGGCAGTTCGATAATATTCCAAGTATCAACAATAAGTTTTCTAACTTCTTCGTTTTTGCACAGTCTCCTGTCGTATCAAAACAAGCCTTTCTTACTTTTTCTGTCGGGCTCAGGATAGAGATGAGTAGTTGATGGTCTGAACCGGAAAATTCAAGGTAGGAGCATCTTCCGGATGGATAGAGTTCCGCCCAAAGGCTGTTTGACATGGTTCTATCAAGTCGGCAATGGACTGTGTGTGTATGTTGAGTGCCTCTCCAAGAGAGGAAGTTCCAAGAGTGACGGAGATCAAATAAGTCGCAGTGTGACATGAAAGTTCTGAAGTCGATGAAAGAGCCTTCAGCCCTTATTGGTCTACCCTCCTTTTCAGAATTCTCTAAGATATCGTTAAAGTCTCCGGTAAGGAACCAAGGTTTGTCCCTGGAAGCTCCTAAATTCGTCAGGGTTTGTAAGACTTCTCTGCGCTTTTGTTGTTCTAGTGCTCCATAAGTGAAAGTAGCATGAAACGGTTTCTTCTTATAAATAATCTGTACATCATTAGAGTTATCACAAGAAGATATCACATTCAATTCAATATAAGAATTCCAGAGAAGAGATAGTCTCCCTCCGCCGATGCTATGTGGTGGGACATCAAACTTTGATGTGAAGTTCAATTGTTCCAGCTTTGAGTTGATGAACTCTGGGGAATTTTTTGTTTCCATGAGGAATATGATATCAGGATCAAGATTCTTCTTAATATCCCTCAGCGGCTGAACCGTTATGGGATTCTCTAACTCACAAGAAAAAATGAATTACTACAGATTCATATCACTATGAGTTTAACAAGTAAAATCATATCACTGTGCAGAACTCCGTCATCCACATATTCATTCAATCTGTCAGTATCATCTCACCCATGAATTACTACAACACAATCATTTCATGCAATAAACTTAGCATCACATATGGAGACCATGTTGTGTACAAGCATCTTAACCACTCATCGCTGGTTAAGAAACCAATCCTATCAACCAAATACGCAGGTCTTATGGAGAGGCATTTGAGTGGCAACAATAGAGAACCCCAGTATATCAAATGTATTATTGAGTATTTTCATGCTAAAAAACAAAATTTTAGGTCTCCACCACTTTGTAGTTGCCGCTAACGCTGGCCACAAGGAGGCCTTATACCTTTTTGGTGTCATCCACATGTGCTTAGGCTTGACTGAGAAAGGAAAAAAAAAATCCTAGCAAAACTCAACTGGAAAAAAGATATAACCAATGTTGAAACTTGTCAGGACAAATATCAAAACATCATTGAAACACATTAAGGTGCTAGGAAGGTGTATTTAAATTCACTGGAGAGAAACATGTCAACTATTGCCACCCATCTGATATTAGACATGACATGTTGCATATATTTTCATTAAAGTTTAATGTCCAAATTTGTAGATAGAGTGATACATGCTTTCTACTTTAAGTTTATAATAAAATTTCACAACCAGTCCTCTAAAACATCATCTTCTCATCAGTATAAACAAAGTCCACATGAATTAAATAAGCCCAAGCAACTACTCCTAATTATTAACATCCACACAACCTCCCTATGAAAAAAATTTATTATTTAATTAATTGTTTTAAAATATTTTTATTATAATATCATTACATTCCAATTGAAGATATTTAACATGGATTTTCAAAATAATAATAATATAAAAATAAAAAGAGATCAAAGAAATGTTTTCAAAATAAA